AATGAGAGAAATTCAAATTAAGAAGCACTCGAGGTCCTAGAATGGTGCAGTGGTATGTTACTAGCCCTCCACTAGAAGGTTCGATACCTAGTTCGGTTACATCAGCAAGGGCATCTGGTATAACAAAATAAATCGTTGTGTGGACTAAAAGTGATTCTTCAGAATTGTTATACATACATGTTAACCCATTCAGTAAACTTTAGGATACAGCCTATACCAGTGTTTCCGAACTTTTTTTTCAGGGGACCCATATTTTAAGTCATAAACCTTTGCGACACATGTCAATAGACATTATTCATAAACTCCTGGGAAACTTGATGCGAGACGACCCCCCCCCCAAAAAAAAAATCTCTTGCGACCCACCTGAGGGTTGCGACCCAGTCTTTGGGAAACAATGGGCTATACTATACAAATTTATATTTCAAGACAACCATAAGAACGTTGAACTTTGTTGGGTCACGTAAAATGATTTGGCAGGCCTAGAATTCTCTGTGTGTTTGCAGAAAAGCTCATTTGCAAGCAAGGGCATCTGGTATAACAAAATAATCTGTGTGTTTGCAGAAAAGCGCATTTGCCTTTTTTCCTCGCAGTTGCTTATATACTTTAAAATACTACTGTGTGTACTATAGGACTTGTAGTATGTTGTATACTAAACACTACGTTAGTCCCCAGGTTTGATAGTTCCTACTTTGAAACAAAAAAAACTTGATGAAATTGAATTCAAGTCCTTAGCGTTGTTAGCAAAAATAAATTTGTGAGGGCTGTCTCAAAAAGAACTACTGGCAAATATATATATATATATCTGCCAGTAGGGTGCATATTTTACCTTGAAGTATTGAGAGAGGCTAAAAGAGGTGAATATGAGCTCAACTTTGGGTTTGGCTCTTTATAGAGTGGCAGAGAAGTATGTGAGGGTGGTACAGTACAGTAAAAAAAAAATAGGTGGGGTGTGCATTCGGAGTTATGGATGGGTTCACTGGAGTCATGGTGTGACCTCAGGGAATACATCTGAGCCCCTTTTTGTTTGGTGAACACATGACCTCGTACAGCAGGCTGGTGTTGAGCAGCGTGTGCACAAATAACCTTGTGAAAGGTGGTGAAAAAGGAACAATTGGTTTGAGCTACATCTCAACCTCTTTCCCCCAGAAGTAACGCAGACACCCTGCAGCCACAGTAAGCTGTGTCCTGATGGCGGTCCTTGTTTGGAGTACGGCGGAACCTACCTGTGTACATGTCAAACGGCTGAAATGGAAATCGGTCATAAGGACTTCTACCCCAATGGTAAGACCTTCAGGCACCAAGTCAAGAAAAAACAAAATCACTTTTTTCATGGTTATTGTAGTGAATATAATGACAATAAACACACCGGACCTGAGCGGTCTTCGTGTTGTGACTAAACAAAAACTCTCACACTTTCCCGAATGTCGCATGATTGAGCGTATTTAAGCGGTCTACCAGTGTAATGGAACACAGTCAAGTCTTAGTGTGTGTTTTTCAGTACAGCCCCGATCAGTCTGCGACTCTTCTCCCTGTCTGAATGGAGGCGACTGTTACGAACAGGATGAAGGCTACACCTGTGAGTGCAAGCACGGATACTGGGGGAAGCACTGCGAGAAAGGTAGAATAAGAGGAAGAAAAAAAAAATGAACATAAGCAAAAAACACACATTTCCATTCACTTCAAGGATTCCCTTTTCCTTGTCTCTTTTCCAGTTAGACACAATACCTGTGCTTCTAGTCCCTGCCGCAACGGAGGCTCCTGTAAAGAGGAGGCCGGGAGCTACAGATGCGTGTGTCCGTATAGGTTTACTGGGAAACACTGCGAAGTTGGTGAGTGACAAATTACAAGTGGTTTTCAACAGAGTTCACCTCATCTAAATAAATGATGGACCATGCATCATCATATCTGACTGTGCCAAAAATAAGGTGAATTTTATTTGCGTTATCACAAACCAGGCAAGCTGTATATGACTCTGGGAAGCAGCAGGTGTCAGCAGAGAAAAAAAATGTTTAAAATAAAGTCAGAGTCTGGGCTGTGCAGCCACATTACAGTCAAAACGTAATTGACGCAAAACAGATATATTATGCAACAAATACAAAATAAAATTACAGTTACAATTAGGATTGGGTATTTTACCATGTGATTGTCATGTCAACACAACACATAATAATAATAATTTATTGTATTGACCATAAACACGGTATTTTTTCCATTATAATTTCTTAAGTTTTTTTTTTTTCTTCGCCTCACTGACCTGAATACTAGCGATACGCCAGTCGCCAATGAAACAGTTCTAGTCCTTTGAATGGAACAATTAGAGTTGCTGCCTTTTTTTTTTTTCTATGTTCAAGTTGTTCTGGAAGTTGTGAGTTGCACACGTACTGGCACAGCGCAACTCGATGACAGAAGAGTTGAGAGAAAGTAGTAGTATTGGTTGGCTGATATTATTGGACATTCCTACTTCGAACTGGTATCTCATAGATGCTAATAATAGCAATGCTATCATGCTAATGCTATCACGTAGCCCTCCAATCCTAGTGCAGTTTTTCATTCAACTTGTAATGTATGTCTTACAGGAAAACCCGACCCCTGTGCTTCTGGTCCTTGTCTAAACGGAGGGACGTGTTTTCACTACATAGGAAAATACAAATGTGAGTGCACTGACGACTACAGGGGCAGACACTGTGAAATCAACTGGAGCGCAGTGCAAACACCCACAGGTAAGCAGACAGGGCTGAGTCATCACACATTGTTCATTAGCTTTGAAGAACGATGCTGTGACAGAGAGGCTGCATCAACATCAGCCCTCCACCCAAACAAGGGATGAATGGATTTAAGATAAAA